AGGAAGCGTCTCATCTCACCAGGCTCTTTTCTCATTTTTCACACGGAATGGTGTGGGCTCAAAGGGACCTTAAAATTCACCTCATTCCAACCCTTTATTTCACAGGCAGAGACATCTTCCACTAGCCCAGGCTGCTCCAAGCCCTGTCCTGCCTGGCCTTGGACACTTCCAGGGACCCAGGGGCAGCCACAGCTGCTCTGGACACCCTGTGCCAGGGCCTGCCCACCCTGCCAGCCAGCAATTCCTGCCCAAGATCCCAAAATCTGTGCCTGCCCTGTGGCAGTGGCAGCCATTGCCTGTGTGCTGTCCCTGCAGGCCTTGTCCCCAGTCCCTGTGCAGCTCTCCTGGAGCCCCTGGAGGCCCTGGCAGGGGCTCTGAGGGGTCCCTGGAGCCTTCTCTTGTGCAGGGGAACAGCCCCAGCTGGGCCAGGCTGGCTCCAGAGCAGAGGGGCTCCAGCCCTGGCAGCATCTCCGTGCCTCCTCTGGATTCCCTCCAGCAAGCCCTTGTGCCTCTGCTGTTGGAGCCCAGGGGTGGGTGCAGTAAATTTCCCCCTGCTTCCAGAGTAGCCACTCTTACTGAATCGCAGCTGGGCCAGGCTGGCTCCAGAGCAGAGGGGCTCCAGCCCTGGCAGCATCTCCGTGCCTCCTCTGGATTCACTCCAGCAAGCCCTTGTGCCTCTGCTGTTGGAGCCCAGGGGTGGGTGCAGTAAATTTCTCCCTGTAGCCACTCTTACTGAATCCTTTTCCAACAGACCAGCTTGGAATGGCTGCCAGCAGGCAGGAGCACCAGCGCTGAAATGGTGATTTCAGCTTGCAGGGCTGTGTGACAGCAGTGGGCAAGGGATCCTTGTCTCCCCGTGCCACTCGCCACACAGAGAGGCTGCCTGAAGAACGCTTTTCTTCGCAGACCTTGGGGCTCATAGCTTGAACCTGCTCTCTTGACATGAGCTGCTGGAGTGGAAGGAGACTGGCTACAGCCAAAACGGCTTCACAACCCAGACTTTGAACATTGCTTGAGAGCTCTGCTCTCAAAATAATGCATAAAAATAGAAGCAGGGCCACAAGCTTAGCTATTCCTAATGTGCACAAAAGGATGGGAGAGTGCCAGGAGCCAGCCTGCGCTGCCTCTGCCCCTGCCTTCAGCCTGGCTTGTTCTCTCCTACCTCCCCTGACTGGCTTTTCACTGCTGTGAAAAGGAGAGACATACCCCCAAAAGAGCAAAGTGTGTTTGTTATTGACCCTCGCCTGGAAAGTGTATGAAGAGGGATCAGCTCTGTTTGTTTGTACCCGGTAATGATGTCAGGAAAAGGTTTTTTTTTTTTTTTTCCCCCAAGTCTGGTTTTATCCCCTTTGTTGGAAGTGCCTTTGGTGAGTCTCACACCCTGGTGCTGTTAGCAAAACAATTAGGTTAACAGTGCCTTGGCTCCAACTGTCTGTCAAAGGCTGAATTGCAATGCAAATTAACCCGGCTTTAGCTCTTCAAAGCCAGCTGGGTTCAGGAGAGGTCCCCAGAAACCCCCGTGAGAACGGAGGTCTGGGGCTGGGGAGGGTGGGCTCGGCGGGATTTTACATCCAGGACCTAATGTGTTTGGCAGGAGGGATGCAAAACGTTGTGCAAACACATTATACAAATGTAACACGTTGTATAAATCCTTTCAACACTCCAAAGGGGCTTAGAAGAAAGACGGGAGAGACTTTTTAGTAGGGCCTGAAGTGGCAGGACAAGGGGTGATGGTTTTAAACTAAATTAGGGGGGGATCCAGAGTATGTAGAAGGAAAAAATCCTTGTCTGTGAGGGTGGGCAGGCCCTGGCACAGGTTTTCCAGGGAAGCTGTGGCTGCCCCTGGATGCCTGGAAGTGTCCAAGGCCAGGCTGGACAGGGCTGGAGCACCCTGGTCTGGTGGAAGGTGTCCCAGCCCTGACAGACGAGGTGGAACGAAATGAGCTTCAAGGTCCCTTCCAGTCTAAACAATTCTTGAATTCTATGACTCAAACATATTTATTTCTCCTCAGGGATTAACAGTGCCCTTCATGCATTTCAGGACAGGTTTCTGGCCCAGGGTGACATTTGAGCAATCCATCCAGAGCAGGCCAGGCTGTGGATATCACCCTTCTTTCCAAGTGTCCCCTCAGCCCAGGTCCCTTTCCCATACTTATCAGCTTCATTATGTTTATTTCTGTATTTTCCATATGGGCACATACATATGGTCTGTTTAAACAAGTTTGCAGGGTTAATTGGAAAGCAGTTCTTTATCAGTTATTTAATATTTAGCACTTCTGAGGTGATTTTCACCTGCAGAGATCACAAAACCAGGCAAGATGGCCCAGCTATGGGAAATCAGAGGTGCCAAAGCCCAGCTCCCTACTTTCCCTACAGGGAAAGGCAGGTGCCCAAGGTCACCTGGAGAACCTATGGCAGGGCCAAAAAATTTATATTAACTCCTGGACCCTATTCCTGTCCTCCACCTCCTCACAGCACACGGCACACTGTGCTTTTTGTCACTTCCTTCATGACAATAAAGCAATCGTAGCTGTCAGTGCTGAGGCAAGTGGAGCTACAAAGGGGAAAATTGAAAAAGGAGATTTTAATCTCATTTGTGACAGCCTGGCAAGTTTTGAAAAATTAAAAAGTATAATGTATGGATTAATGAACATGTCCAACATGTCTTTCACCAGCAAATATTGGAATGAGAAGTAACTTTTTCCCCCCCCCTCCCGATTTGCTATACACATCACAGGGAGAAGAGATTGAGGTTCTCTGAGGAACTGAGGAAATCAGCCTCAGTGTATGTGAGGTCATTCTGGAGGCTGTAGAACAAGATGTTGAACTAAAAATGTTACCCAAATTCCATTTTTCAGGATGCAGAAGGCATAATTTTAAAAGCAATGGGACTTCTTTGCATGTGCAGAACCAAATGCTGGTGCTGCTCTGATGTGGCCCCTGCTATCACCCGAAGGCTGCAGGGCTGTGCCCTGGGCTCCCCTCCTACTTTTAATTATTTGGAGGTGAAGCAAGGAGTCAATTGCCTTCCTCAGACTCCAGCTTTGTAACGAGGCTTCCTAAATTATTCTTTCTAACGCCAGCAAATAACATTCTTCTCCTCCCCAGTGTTTTCCCAGCTATTTATCTGGATTTCGAGCAGATTTTGTACCTGGTTAGGTATGGTCTGGTTAACATTTAGTAAGCCTGCCCCCAAATCTAACCACTTTCTGACTAATTTAGATCCAGATTCTGCAAATGCCGGGCCTGTTTGTAGCATCCCTGACCTGCTCATGTGAATATATGCACAACTGGGCACTTAAATCATCCCTGCCCTCCTGCCTGCCCCAAATTCAGGGATCCAGGACACACACCCCGGGGATGCCCTTCCTGCTCGGGGTGTTGGTTTTATGTGTGCTCTCCCCGGTGCCACGCTTAGTTGGGTGCATTCATTTTGGACGTGGCTTTGGCTTTGGATTTGAGCCGGACTTGCTTATAGCAGCCATGATTTAAGAGCGCTAGCTCCTACTTCCGACACGATAGCTGCCTCGGAGAGTGACCTTAAAGCAACTCATCCGCCCGCAGTTATTCTGTGAAAAAGGAGCTGCTCCTCCGTGGGAGTGCGTGCAGGACGGGGACCCCTGGGGAGTTCTGCTGCCCTGCCAAGCCTGGCGCTAGGAAGTCTGGCCGGACTTCCCAGCCCGGCCGCAGAGCGCACCAAGGCTGGACGAGAGCGCAGCCTCTTGGTGGCTCAGTTTTCCTCACCCTCTGCCGGTCCAGGATTGGAATGGGGGAATCTGCGGAGCGCCCAGGGTGCCAGGGGTTGTTACCGCTAGTAGTACCCGGAACGCGAATACCGGCGGGCTGCGTGCCCGACATTTCTGCTTCGTGTTTGGAATCGGAGTGTACCCAGCCTCCATGGTGTATTTTCCTGTCCTTCTGGTGACAGGTGTTGTAAAAGCACAAATTATTATTATTATTAATACTACTATCATCATCATCATCATCATCATCATCATCATCATCATCGTTGCTGCTTTTTGTGATGTGCCCTCTTTCGATACCCAGAGCCACATAAATTTTTGAATTTTTACGCTGATTTGGTCTCATATTCCAATATTTACAGTGAGCACCGGCACACCCCAGCCCCGGGAGCTCCCCACCCTGTGCCCCGCGGGGTGCGGGGGGGGCCACCCCGGTCTCCCCGCACCCCCCCACCCCGGAGCAGGTACGAAGGGCGGCATCGGGAGGGGAGCGCGGCGCTGGGGGTGGGGGGACCTGGGGAGGGGACACACGGACCCACAACCTCTCGGCAACCCGAGCCGCCTCTTGCGCAAGGCGGTTGGAGATAAATATAATATATAGATATATTTATTTATTTTTTTTTTTCCCCCGGAGCGACACGGTGTCTAGACGCCCACGTGACGGGGCCGGGGCCGGGCCGGGCCGGGCCGCTGCGCACTGCGAAGGAAAAAAAAAAAAAAAAAACCCACGAAAGGAGGAGGAGAAGTAGGAGGAGGAGGAGGAGGGGAAGGAAGGCAGGAAGGAGGAGTGAAGAGCAAAAAAAAGGCACCGCGGCAGAGGCGCCGGCAGCAGGGAGAGGGTCGGCGGCCGGCGGGCACCCCCGCACCCATGTAAGCTCCGCCGGGAGCGGCGGGCCCGGCTCGGCCCGGCGCGGCTGCTGGGGAAGGCAGGAAGGAAGGGACATAGCCCCACTTTTCTCCTTTTTTTATTTTTTTTTTTTTTTATTTCCTTTCTTTCTCTTCGTAGCAGCCGGATCAAGACTCCGTGTGGATTAAACCTTTGGAAAGAAGGAGGGGGAAAAAAAAAAATAAAAGCCCACCCCGAAACCCCCACATCAGGACGACCTGGGCTTTTTAAAAGGGATACAACACTCTGGATGCGCTCGTTCGCCTCTTTTGTGACAGATGCTTAAACCGACGTCCAAACCTTAGGGTTGGTGTTTTGGGGTTTTTTTAATTTTTTTTTTTTTTTTTTTTTTTTTTTTTTTTACCCTTTTTAAATAGACGCCTTTTTGGCTCGCTCTTTTTGTTTTTGCCTGCTGGCTCTGCCCTGCGCCGCATCCCCGCCGCCGCGCCCGCTCCCCGGCGTGGCGGGTTGATGGGCGCCGCGGCCCCGGGGCGGCCGAGGCTCCCCCGCGGCTCGGGCCGCGCTCCGCACCCGCGCACGGCGGCGCGGCGCCGGCAGCCCCCGCCCGCCTACCCCCGCGACGGGCGCCGCAGGCTCTAGACGGGGATTTTTTTGGTTTTTCTTTGCTTTTTTGGGCAAAGCCGGAGCAAGCGGCGGCTCACTCCCTTCCCTTCCCCCCGCCTTTATTTTATCCCTTTTTTATTTTTTCTTTTTTTTCTTCTCGGCTTTGATTTTTTTCTTTTCAATTCGGTTTTTCTGTAAATTTTCTCGCAGCGGGCGGAGGCGCGGCCGGCGCATCCCCCCGCGGGAGGCGGCGGGACCCGCGGCCCCAGCGCGGAGACTGGCGCATGCCACAGCCCGCCTCGGCTCCGCTGCCCCCCGCCGCTGCCCGCCGCCGCCGCCGCATCCCGCCTGCCGGCCCCTTCATGCTCGGCGGACGACATGCCCGTTTTGTAGCCGGGGGCCCCTCCTCTCGTCCCGCATGTTCAGGACCAAACGCTCGGTGCTCGTCCGGCGGCTCTGGCGGAGCCGCGCGCCCGGCGGCGAGGAGGAGGAGGAGGCGGCGGCGGGCGAGCCCGGCGCGGCGGCGGCGGTGGCCGAGCCCCGGGCGCACTTGGGCGGGGGGCGCGGGTGCTGCCCGGGCAAGGCGGGCCGCGGCGGGCGGGCGGCGGGCGCGGAGGCGGAACTGAAGGCGCTGACCCACGCCGTGCTGAAGCGGCTGAAGGAGCGGCAGCTGGAGGGGCTGCTGCACGCCGTGGAGTCCCGCGGCGGGGCGCGGACCCCCTGCCTGCTGCTGCCCGCCAAGGCCGACTCGCGGCTGGGACAGCACTGGTACCCGCTGCCCGTGCTGCTCTGCAAGGTGTTCCGCTGGCCCGACCTCCGCCACTGCTCCGAAGTGAAGCGGCTATGTTGCTGTGAATCCTACGGCAAGGCTCACTCCGAGCTCGTCTGCTGCAACCCGCACCACCTCAGCCGGCTCTGCGAGCTAGGTACGGCGGCGGGGATGGCGGGGGAAGCGGGGGATGCAGAGGCTGGAGGGGTTCGAGGTGTGCAGGGCTTGGAGGGATGCGGGAGTACAGGGGAATGGCGGGCACACAGGGCTGCGGGCGATTCAGGGGTGCAGGGGCTGGAGGGCATGCAAGAGACGGAGGGGATGCAGCGGCGCGGGGGCTGGAGGTGTGTAGGGGATGGACGGGATGCAGGAGTCTGGGGAATGGAGGGGATGGGGTGCCGGGAATGGAGAAGATGCAGGGGTGCCGGGAATGGAGAGGATGCAAGGGTGCAGGGAATGGTAGAGGGTCCAGGGGCTGGAGATGTACAGGGGTTGGAGGGGATGCAGAGGGGGTGCATGTGTGGAGGGGATGCGGGGGTACGTGGCTGCAGCCCCACTCACCTCCCGGGCTACAAAACTTTTTTTCCCTTCTGGAGAAAAAAAAAAAAAAAAAACGCCAAAAAAACAAAACCAAGAGCAAACCAAAACCAACCCACAACAAACAACAAACGCCAGAACACGCACAGAAACTTTCCGTTGCCGTGGTTTCTATATTTCCTTTTGTATTTAGGGGAGGGGGCGACGCCCCCACCTCCGGGACCCCCTCCCCTCCCGGGGGCCCCGGCGCTGCCTCCCCGCCGTCCCCGCGCGGTGCCGGGGGATTAAGGGCCGGGCGGCCCCGGCGCTGCCGCGGCTCCGCCGAGCCAAGGAGGCCCCGATCAGACAGCCCGAGCGGCAGATAGCAGGGAGACTGGCGCCAGACGGCCCCTTTTGTTTATCTGACAGCTAAATATCAAGGCAATCACCGCCTCGCTGCCCTGCCTCCAACCCCCAGAGCTAAGACAAACAGTTTTGCTAAAAGAATGCCACTGTTATCATAAGTTCCTATCTTTTTTCTTTTCTTTTTTTTTTTTTTTCTCATGGCTCTGCCTTTATTTTCTCTGTACTTCTCTAATTCCAGAGTCTCCCCCTCCACCCTACTCCAGATATCCAATGGATTTTCTCAAACCAACTGGTAAGTGGACTTTTTTCAATGCAAGTGTAAGAGATAAAAAAATGGCAAAACAGCCCCTTTATCGGGGAAACAGTCTCCTGCCTTTGTTATGCATTTTGCTTTTGGCTTGCTTGTGTGCTTGTGTGCCTCCTCCTACCCCTGTAAGAATTAACATATAATTTATCTAAGCCACTCTGTGCACAAAACAGGGTTTTAAAACTCTGGCAGTAAACTTCAGAAGGGATTGCAGTGCAGTGCAGGCCTGTGCTGCTTGAGTCAGCCAGGAAAACCATAGGCTCCAGTTGGAAATGGCAGTGCTTCTGCAGCCCTGGCTGAATTTTTAGGGATTTAGGTTGGGATCCAGCACAGCATCTCCCCGATGCCTGGGAATCCCAGTGAACCTTGACAGATGGACTGGTCGGTTAGAAATCTCTCTTAAGTTTTATAGGAGCTTAATCCTACCTCATCAGGTTGGAAAAAAAAAATGGGAGAGGAGTCTGAAAAGTTATTTTTTTAACCTTTTTAAAACTTAAATTTCTTAGCACAACTGTGCATGCCTGTTGCTTGTAATTGAATGTCAGGGTGCCAGGGGAGAAGCCCATTTGAGGCTGGCACCAGCTCTTTTGCGGTTGTCTGCATAAACTCTCGGTTGGCAGTGAGCTCGCCGGGTGTGAGATAAATGAGGCTGGCAGGAGCAGGAGAGGTGGGGAGAGTCGGAAGCGCGGGGAGCTCGGGAGGAGCAGCTCCTGGCTTCCCGAGGATTAGTGGCTCTGGAGCGGGCTGGAGCACGGTGGTCCCTGCCGTCGTGGCAGACAGGGGGGTGCACGGCGCTGCAGGGTGGCAGGGGTGGGTACGTGGATATTCCTGAACATCAGATTGTCTGGCTGGGGCTTTTTGGCCAGCAGAACAGTGTGGAATTACCTCTCCGCAGGGTCTCAGGGCTAAAAGAAACCCCAGCCCTGAGGCTGCTCTGGTGCCGCGCTGGGGTCTCATCCTGCCAGCTGCTCCCTCAGAGGCTGGACTGTCATTTTCCCCCTCTGCAAACTCTTTGGGAACGCTAATGAGTCTTTTCTTGTCTTTGGGAAATAAACAAAGCTGTTTGACAAACAATTGGGTTGCAAAGCATGAACTATCTTGCCTTGGTGTGAAAAAAACAGGAGATAAGGGCTCATGAATGAAAGAGGGATATCGGGAGTAGGTTCAGCATCCAGAGCATGCGCTGGGATGCAGAAGGGTTGTTCTGTAATAGACTCTGAGGGTCTGCTGGGTCATGAAGTTTTGTGGGTTACACATAATTTTGGCTGCATCTCCGCAGTGCTCCCCCAAAAGTTACTTTTTTTTTTTGCCTTTATGGCTTTTCTCTGCACTCATTGATGATCCTGGATGGGGGTGCAAAGGGGGGTTTGGAGCTGGAGGAGAGAAGGGTTAAAGCTTGGTTTTGGTTTCCTGTGAAGATGTTAGGATAAAATCTATTAGCAGGGTTTAAACATCCAATCTGCCTCTGCCAGGATCTCATTTTCAGTTAGCCGAATGATATATTTATTCATTAGCAAGTGTTGACATAAGGTAGCAAAATGTGTGTAAACAGAAAAGCCGCAGAACATGAATGTGCCATTTCGAAAGGAAAAGTTATTCCTATCGGCCAATAGGAAGTGATTAACGCTGCCCATCGGAAACAAAGAAACGACTGGGTTACTCACCAAAAAGTACTCTTTTTTTTCCTTTTTGAAAGAAAAATCCACTTGGCAGCTGAGCTCTGACTAACGGGGCTGTGACAGGCACCAGCGGAGCCTGGAAGTCTGTGGTGGCAGGTGGGTTTTGCAAGCTCAGGGTTTCTCAGCATTTCCTCTGCAAGGGGACTGAGGGTTTCCCGTCCCAGCCTCGGTGCCGTCTCCTGTGGCAGTTCCCCAGCTGCATGTGGAGAACTGTGGGAAGGTGTGAAGATTTTTTACCTGGTGCCCATCAGCCATTATTCTCACCTGGGGCCTTGGATGGGAACAGCCCCTGTGTTTAGGCTCCGATAGTGGAGCTGGGAATGTGAATGCAGCAGGAAACTTCTGGTTTTATATCAAGCATGATAGTGGCGGTAAAAGTTAAGTGTTTAGCACTATGTCTTGTGCTTCAAATTGAGAGACAGATAACAAATCTGGACTGGTGTGGGCTTTGGCAGAGGTTGCCAAATCAGAGAATAAAAAAAAAAATTGTGTTGGAAGGGAGCCTAAAGACCAGCTAGTCCAGCCCTCCTGCAATGAGCAGGAACATCTTCAACTAGACCAGGTCACTCTGAGTCCCATCCAGCCTGACCTTGAATATTTCTGAGGGGGATCTACCATCTCTCTGGGCAACCTGTGTCAGTGCCTCACCACTGCCATCATTAACCTTTTCTCTCTTCAGTCTTGTCTAAATCTCTCTTCTCTTTTTGTTTAAAACCTTTAACCTGTGGGGATTAAATCAGTTTTTCTGGAGGTGATGGAGGCTGAGACAGGCTGCATTGCAGGCTGGAGGAAAGCAGGGATGGACAAGGAGCTGGGAATCTGCTGTAGGCAATGAAATGCCCCATCAGGCTGTGTTGGTAGGATAGATCTGGTATTTGTGTACTTGTCATAGAACAGAAGGATCTGCCCTTGATGGCTGAGTTACCTGAGGGAAGGCTGTGGGTCAGCCTGGCTTGCTCATTCATAGAATCCCAGAATGGTTTGGGTTGGAATGACCTTAAAACTCATCTTGCTCCAACCCCCTGCCTTGGACAGGGACACCTTCCACTACACCAGGCTGCTCCAAGCCACCTCCAGCCTGGTCTTGGATGCCTCCAGGGATGGGGAGGACTTTTATCAAGGAGAAAACTTTCCCTCTTCCTCACAGGGACCTTGGCAGGGATGGATGATGGAGGTGTGTGGGCACTCATCATTTCTGATGTCTCTGCTGGAACTTGCAGCTCTGCTGAAAGTGAGGTGGATAGTAGTGCCCTCAAATAATTCAGTCAGATTTTTGACTAAGCTTTAAGTGGGACAAGGGGCTGCAAGTGACTCTGTTGTGCTCTGGTGTGACTGGACTTGGTGGTGCTGGTGTATGAGGGTGCAGGAAACTCACTGAGATGTCACCGTGGGGCCGAATGCCCTCCTGTGGTGTCACCTTTCAGGGGAGCTGGAGGTTTGGCAGCTCCCAGGAGCTATTTGACACCTTGCAAGGTTGGGCTGGTGGCCACAAGGAATAATTGTGTGTCTCCGCAATGGCTTCATTTTGTGGGAAGGCAGTGTTGGGAGGAGATTGATGTGTGCCAGGCTTGGACAGACGTCTGGTCCTCGACCTCTCTGGTGCTGAAGGTAAAACCAGCCCCAGTGCCCACTACTAAGGACAGCCCCAGCAGCTCTGTGGGCAGTGGGATGAGGGCAGCAATGAATCCAGGGCAGAGACCCTGTGAGGGTTCTGCCTTTGGGCTCATCCTAACTCTCCTGGCTGGTCTGGAGTTGAGCTGCAGCAGCCCTGTGTTTTGGAAAGGGAATTCCAGGGGTGATTCATGGATGAGGGGAGTTGTCTTTTGGGTGATGGGACATGGGAAGGGAGCTGAGGAAGAAGTGTGGTAGCACATCACCCCATTGCTAGGATTATGTACTTGAAGTTTGGTAGGAGCCTGTCCTGCCTGATGTGGTAACAGAGAACCTTGTCACGTATGATCTCTACAGCAGGACAGTAATGTCCTTTATCCGCAGGAACTCCTCAGGGAGCAGTAGCTGCAGGCACAGGGAGCCCAGGGCAGGGCAGAGTGGTCCAGCCTGTGTTCAGAAAGCATCTGTAGCTCAAGCAGCTGAAGCAATCACAGGGGACTGGCTGGGAAATCTCCTGTCTGGACTTGAAAGAGTTAAGAAAAGTAAAAACCCTATTTCTTTAAAGCATAGAGAGCACAGCAAGGCATTTAGGGAGCGTATCATATACAGTATTTCACAAGTAAGTCTATTTCCTGTCTCCCCTATTGTTTTCAGTTTGATTAAGTATATCCTGTTAAACTGTATATTCCTGTTAGGGCTTTTACTTTACTCTGATAAAATGAGGTTATGCAGACAGGAATTTCTTATTCACTGGTATTTCAGGGGTGGGATCTGGCAGAACTGCTTTATCAGTAGGGAGAAAATCATCTTGGCTCTCCTCGTGGTGACCCTTGCTTTGGGATACAGATGTGGGCAAAATGAGGGCACAGAGAGCCCAAATTTGGTGAAACTCTAAGTCCATCAGGACCAGAAGTTTGCATGAACTTCACAGGTCTTCTCAGGCTTGTTCTTCAGCTCAGGGTCCCACATGGTAGTGACCAAAAAGCTGGAGCTGTCCTGTAGGACCAGGAGATCAGTGTTGGCTTCTGACTGTTGTCACCTGGAAGAGCAGGCTTAGGGTAGAGAGGTCCAAACCTTGATCTCCAGGACCTGTGTGCATTGGGAGAAACCTCTAAGGGAGCAGCCAGTCTTACCCTGCCCTTGGGGGGTGCCCAGAGGAGTGGGTCCCATTGCCCAGGAGGTGGCAATAAGGTCTGCCAGCAGCTGGTGGTGACAAACCTTGAGCAGGGCACCACAAACTCAGCCCGTTCACTGCAGAAGGGCAGCAATGAGACGTTTCCCTTTCGGTTCCCATTTTGGTGAGTTACAGGTTTTGACTAAATTGGGTGCATAAAGCCACGATTTGAGCATTTTTGGAAGCTCTCTTGCATCAGAACGGCGACAACCTTGATCTCCTTAGCCGGTGACTTGTCCAGAGAGGTGGCAGCCAGCCTGTAATTTCTGCCAGTCTATAATCAGTGCTGGCTGGTGATGAAGCGCAGCCTTGACTGAGACAACGAGTTAGGGTGGATGCTTCTTGATGAACTACTGTCTCTGCACGGACAATTAGTAATCGCTTCCTGCTAAGCCCTTTGGAATGTGTGTTCTGCTTGGGGCGATGCTGGGAGCCTGCAAAGAACCACCTATATACTGACTTTTTTTTTTTTTTTCCTTCCTCTGCTCCAGCAGATTGTCCAGACTCTGTGCCTTCCTCCACTGAAACAGGGGGAACTAATTTTCTAGCCCCTGGGGGGCTCTCAGGTAAGACATCTTCTGCTGTTCTTGATCTTGGTCGTGGGTCACGTTGTTTGAGGGTCCTGACAAAAGGCGAAGTGATGCTGGGGGGATTTTGGGAATGCACATCACTGGGAAGGGCGTGCTCAGAGCGGGAGTTGGGTTTAATTTCAGTAGCAGCCGTGTACCTGTTGTGCAGAGGATGTGTTGAAATCCCAGTCAAGGTTCTCCATCCCTTGAATCCCGTGAATGTGTCTGTACTTCCTTTGGATTCCAGCCTTATGCTCCATTCATTTTTGGGCTAAGGCAGGAAGAGGCAAAAGGACTGAGGCAGGGGAAGACTAAGCAATGTTGGTTGGCCATTCATTCAGGTGTGTGGATTATGGGCGCAGGTGCAGTTGTACCTTAAAGAAGGATTTGGTGTCAAATCCTTGACTTGGTGGTGGGGCATTTTTTGTCTCTGGGAGGAGAGCCCTGCTCAGGTTTTGCTCCTGGTAAGGTCACCAGCATCCCACATCTGATGCACAAGGCTCGTGGTGCCTGGGGAGGAAAGGTAGCCTGTTTTTTTATACAGTATGTTGCAGAGAGAATTGTTGATGTTTTGTACCCATTCCTGATATATTCAGTGATTTCCATTGCTTTCCTATTTGCCATCTCCTTCAACCTCCAGTTGCTGTTACAGGATGGAGGCTTGTAAGGTACTTTCTCCACCCCATCTGGAGTTTGTGTAGAGACATAGGGCGGTTTGGGTTGGAAAGGACTTTTGAAGGTCATCTAGTCCAACTCCCAACACCATTTCCAAGGTGTGATGTCTCCATCACCTCATCTTCCACCCCAGACTGGCCACCTCAGTGTCTCTACCAGGATTAAAGTGTCTGAAACCATGTACCTGCAGGTACTGGCTGATGTTTAAAGGTGCTTGCCTTTGTGGGGATGTCTCCTTGATTTATGATTTATTCATCACCCTGAAACTGGAATTCAGAATTAGGTCGGCGGCGGCTGCACGCGCGTGCATCTGCCCCTGCCTCTCTCCAGGAATTGCATTTGGTGTGGATGTGATGTCTTTAAGTGAGCCTTGTTTGTTTTTCTTTGGGTGTAATATATACCCTGTCTGTTATTTGAGAGGGGAGCATATTGTTTGTTCAAAGGCCCTAATGAGAATTAATCAAACGAAGGGGGAGAGGGAACAGGAAAACTTGTTGCTGTTTGGGGTTTTTTTCTCTAAAGGCAGAAGGATTTGAGTTTTTAAAATTTTTTTTTCTATTGGAGCCTATAGCTTCAGGGAATTAAAAAAAAAAGGGGCTGTAGAAAGAAAAAAAAGACAAGAAGGAAAACAACACAATAAGGATGTTGTTAGATCTTTTTTTTTTCTTTTTTTTTTTTTTTTTCCTTTTTCCTCCTGAAATACACCCGTTGCAGAGGGGAGGAGAGAGTTCAGTTCCACAGGATACCACATGAAATAAGCAGAGGAAGTACTCGCTTTTAAAAGGGGGCTTTCTGTAAGGTTCAGCCTATTGATAACATCTCGTCTGGCAGCTCTGCTCCCGAAGGGAAGGCAGGAGGTGGGGGCTTGGGCTGCAGGAAATAACATGGCTCGTTCCTGGTGCCTCCCAAAAGGCTACGGGAAGGGGACCCCCTAGCTCCTTAATTGAGCTTCTTCCCCAGATGGAAGCACATTTCCACCTGAAAGTACATTTTTAACTTACTTTATTCTATTGCTACTATTTCATAGGATTTGATTTTTTTTTTTTCTTTTTCTTTTTTTTTTTTGGTCTCCCTTATCAAAGGTTCCCCCCTCCCCAGGCCTGGAAACAGAACCTTTTTACGATCATTAACCGCTCTTTTTTCCTCCCCAAATGTAATTGTAGCCATTTAGTTTAATGAGGAGCTGATAGGAGAGTTGACTCTTGAAGGGATATGGTTAGCTACCCAAGCCCTGAAACAAAGCCGAATGCCTCCACATGAAAGAGCATTTGTTTTGAATTTGCTCTGATTTACTGGCATCTCCCTTCCGCGCGCAGAAGTGCAGTGCTGAAAATTCCCAACTGGAGAGACCCAGTCAAGAAAGGAAAATAAACGCACTTTGGAGCAATCCTCCAAAGCTCACTTTCTCCTCCTTTTTTTTCCTACCCCCTCCTGCATATTTTAGTTAGCAGAAGAGTGTGTTTGAAGAGGGCTTTAATGAGTTATTGGCAGGGTATGTGGCCAGCACTTTGGCTTGGTCTTATCTGTGTTTGGGCAGATAGGGATGGGTGATGCTGGGTGGAGAATCCAGCAATCCCTCCTCCCCTCCAGACCTGTACAGTGTTGGATTTGGTGAAAGGATGGCTTAAGAAAAGAGTTAAAAAAAAGTAATTATTTTGCTAATTTGGAAACTGGAGTGGGTGTGTGAGGAAAAAGACATCACAAGAGGTTGGTGATGGTGCTGGTGGGACCATGCAGCAGTACTGCAGCCTTTGGTCATTAGTGACGTGTGGTGGATGCTGGCATAGCAGCAGGATCAGTAGACCTGCTCTGATGCCTTAAAGAGCAGGACTTGGCAAGGAAGATCAATCTCAGCGCTGAGAATTTGGGAATGAGGCCAGCCTGGGGTTCACGGCCACTCCGGCAGGGGAATGCATGGAGAGAGGATGGTGGCAAGGGGAGCACTGAAGGGGCTCAAAGCGAGTGTCCTTGCAGCTCGCCGTGAGGAGCCTTTGATGAGGAGGAGCCTCAGATCAGCCTCTGCTGGGCTCTGTCTCTTTCTGGGGCTGCAGGCAGTTGTGCTGATGGATACCAGAGGCTCTGGAGGATGTGTGGCAGGGGGAGCAGCGTGGCCGGGGCACGTACGGGGAGTGTTTCCCCCTTGTGATAACTGCTCTGGGCTGCTCTTTCCCTCCCTCCCTCTTCTTTCTGTTCTCCTTCGTGACCCAGGAATGCAATCCTGGGTAGTCCTTCTCACCGTGCTGGTGTCCCCTTCCCATCCCACCTCTGCTCTCTCTTCCCCAGCCATCCCACTCTGGCTGATGTACCCCTCGCTTCCCCCGGGCACTGGCTCTCGCTTCTGTACTCTTGGCTTTATTTATTTTCTTATATCATCTTTATTTTTATCGGTGGTCAGCCTGTGGGTAGGTCAGGACTCCTCGCTCATGGTTGCTCCCACTGACACGGCTGTGCTCAGGTATTACTAGCCAGATCCTTTCTGTCCTCCGTGTGGTTAGAGAGCAAAAATATCCCATTGGGGATAAAAATAATTCCCGTAAATAGGAGACAGAGGGTGGTTTTCCTGTATTTTGAGCTGACTTGTTCTCAGCAGATGTGTTTGGTTGTGACTTCTTTCAAACAAGCAAAGCCATGTCTGGAGTGCCTGAAGGTGGCTGGCCCATGGTTTGGTGGCATCAGGTTGGTGGGAGCCAAATTCCTGTATGACCCATGGAGAAAACCTGATCCAAGGGCAGAAGTGAGCTGGTGGTGTTGGTGCTGGAGCTGCTGGCAAAGCAAAGCTCTCGAGAGCTCAATCCCCCTCTGAGCTTGTGCTCAGAGAGGGAGAGCAAGTTGAGCTTGTGTCCTCACCACATCCACTGCTTTTTTATAGAGGTTGTTCCTAAAATACCAAACCTGAGAGGTTATCCAGATTTTGGCCTAAATCTGCTTTGCACAAACTCTGGAAACACCACAGGCTCTCTAAGAGCCAGTGGATGTTGAGTGATGGTTCTTGGTGGGTGCTGGATCAAGGTTCTGTATGCCTTGAGGCTGGGAAACCAACAAGGCTCATCTGTAGCAGGCACAGACTCAGTTTCTCCCTCCCAACTCCACACCAAAAAGGCAGGGAAAAGACTTCCCCAGGCTGGAAGAGCATTGGCATCGTTCCCTACTCTGGCTCTCTGTGCTGTGGGACCTTGTCTGGTTTAAGGGACCTCTTGGCTGATTGACATTTCATTCCAAAATTGCGGACAGGCCGGGAATGTTTCACTATGCCTCTGATCCCTGCTGGTATCTGCTCGACGGGGAAGAAGCACCTTGTCCAAATCCGGAGATATTTGCCCCCCAAAGCGGCTTCCCGTCGCTCTCCCCTTGCCCATGTAAACAGGATCCTGTGCTGTTTCTCCGCCAGAGCCCTGCCTGTGTTTTCCCGTTCCCCCCACTTCCACCTCCCTCCCCTACGGAGTTTATAACCTCCTGTGAAATGCCTTTATTTACAAATTGGCATCCTATTATAATCTGAAATTGAGACATCTTCCTGTGGAACTAGGATTGTATATTTGTCCCAGGGATAAACAATTGCTTGGGAATTTTTTTTTTTTTTCTTTAAGTCACTTATTTTTGGTTTATTTTTGAGCTTACGTCGTTTTAATATTTTTCAATTTGCTTTGAGCGTCGCAGGGCGTTGCACCCTTTCCTTCCCAGCCTCACTGGGAGACATGACCCCCTGCTCCTTGCTTACCTAAAAACCACAGTCCTGTCCTGGAAAGGACAAGGTTATCAGGGGTTAATGCCAGGATGACAGCACTGGAGCCTCTGGAGCAGAGCAGGCTGCCTGCCAGACTAGGAGCCTCCCGGCTCGCCTCGCACATCATCTGACCGTGGCCGACTGGGAGGAGGGAGCTGGTGCTTGGCACTGACCCCGGGCTCTTGGCTTGGCCACCCGCTCTGGTTCCTTCAAGCCCCATGAGGGCTTTTTTTTTTTTTTTTTTTTTTTTTAAGGGGGTTCTCACCCTGTGGGGACCCCCCTGGGACACAGCCGGGATCCTGCTCCCAGCTCTGGGCATTTGGCCGATTAAAATCCTTCCAAAGCAAATAGAATCCATTTAATAATTACTTTTAAGTGCTCTAGAACCTCTTGAGCCTTTCCTAGATACTCTTGTACAAGGTGTTTTAAGAAAGAAATGATAGCAGAGGTGCTGCCCCCATTAGATAGTTTCAATCCATACCTGTACAGCTTCATTAAAACCATTTTTCCAGACGCCAGCAGATTTTCCCAGCCAAACCATGTCTTTGGAACAGCTGATGACAAAATGCAGAAGACCCCAGGTTCAGCAAGTCCATCA